TATTCTTTGGGCCCAACCTCTGCGGGATCCCCCTTATTTTTAAAAAGAGAGGGGGCGCAGTGTTTCCAAAAAGGGGCCCCTCTTTACCTTCTTTTATTGAAACCCACCCGCGGCGAAATAAAAAGTTTGCGGCGCGGCGGTCGGTGTCGACGGCGTCGGGCGGGCGACGTTCGGCCGGGCCCGGGCGCCGCGGACGGAGCCCTCTTGGGGCATCGGGGATGAGGGCGGCACGGCGCGGCTCAGCTGGGCGGAGCCGAGGATGTAGGGGAGGAAAGCGTGGTCGTCGAGGCCCCAGACGCCGTGGGAGCCGGCGGGCTCGAGAGTGTAGGTCTTGATGAGGGTGCGGACGAGGGACAGGTAGGGGCCCAGGACGGCGAGTGCGATGAGGCGCTCCGTGTCGCCGAGGGATGAGGACGGAGAGGAGGGGAAGAAGTTGAGCTTGTAGAGGCCGCCGAGGAAGGCTAGGAAGGACAGCTCGTGGCCGGTGCCGTAGTCCAGACGCTGCGGGCTGCCGAAGGAACCGAGGAAGTAGGCCTGGAGCTCTGGCAGCGGGGAAGAGCCGCCAAAGTTGAGAATCTCGGAGGGCAGAAGATTGGCGAGGAGGGTTGGCGCGTGAGATTCGAGTAGCTTGGACCAGGTGCGGAAGCTAGCGTTGCCGAACCGGCGAGGGCCCGGATCTGGGGGCGCTTCGGTGACGAGGGCCTCTGCCGAGTGGAGAAGTGACTGCAGAGCAAGGATCGGGGAGGGCAGGTCGGCGGCGGGGGGGATGGAGGTTGAGGGATACGTCTTGATGGATTCCTTTGTGGTCGAAGTGGCTGGTATGAGCTCGGGGCAGAGAGAGCGGTTCAGCTGGAGGACGAAAGTCGTGATGTCCCGGTGAGCCTTTGATTCGAGAAACGTAGAGACATCGGGGCCCTCGTTGATGCGCTTGACGGGGGGTTGAAAGGTGTATGGTGTTGAGGGGTCGAGTTTTGTGAGGCAGGGGTGAGGGGATGTGGCACCTGTGGGTGGCGGCGGGGGATCCATGGTGTGATGTGCGCTCTCGTTCTTGTCTCTCAAAAGTTGTCTCGTTTTGAGATGCCTGATAGATGCACACTTCGTGCTGGGAGCAAGGCGCTATAGCGGTGGCATCGAGATGGAGGTCGCGATGTTATGCTCCATGTTCAAGATGCAGCGGCGATGAGAAAGGGACCGACGTCAGGTGGGGGCTGACTCAGCAGTCCACGGCGGGCCCATAAAATGACCCTCGAAACCTGCCTGTTGCCTTCGGCCTCCGGTGCAGCAACAGCCCCTTTTCCCCGGATTCCAAAGTGCGGCGATGTCACTGCCGAGCATCTGTGCCCCTGAAACAATTAGTATTCGTCCATTGTGAACCTTGTCAAAAGCTTAGTTCTTTCGAGGCTCAACATCTTGAGGACCCCAAGAGACAGGAGGCCCGCCCTCAAGAGGGTTCTGCACAGTCTCAGACAGTGGCATTCTCCCACATGCCAAACCACGTCTGAATGATTCAGTCTTCTTCACCTCAAGGGCCAGGCCAGGCCACTGCCCATCTACACTACTGTTCTCCGAACAGGGAGACAACCCTGTGTCGGCTCGATGACCTCCTTCCCCAGCAGCACTCATAAAACCTACACTTCAAAGGGCAAAGGCAAACCTTGGGTGGCTTGACCGAAGGAATAGATGCCCGCTGCATTTGTCCGAGACGTACTCGGGCAAGGTACCTACCTACCTACTTGCGCTTCGTATCACGCACGGCCACCATGCAATGCAGATGGAACCGTCCCCCCCGAAATTGCATCGTCATCACCGCCGGCCGCCCCCCTGGGAGATAGACCAGGCAAAGCAACACACACGCATCCATCCCATCCGCAAATGAACACAACAGAGAAGAAGCAGTCCCAGCCCAGCGCCGCTACACAGTCCCCAAGGCACGGGCGCACCAGTAGCCGAACGTTCCATCACACGCAGCTGTACGCCCTCCTCTCCCTCGAGCGACGGAACCGAAGCAGCGTGCCTCCCTCGATGGCGCAATACAGGGCGAGTGCCGGCCAGAACAACAAGCTGCTCGCCTGCCGAAACATTTCAGCCCGCTTCGTGCCCCATCTTCATGGCGGAGCATTATTCTTTTTCTTCAGCTCCCCGATTGCAGTGTATAGTAGTCGACGCCACGGCTCTTGGTTGGGGGCTGGGCTGACGGCATCCACCCCCCTCCCCCCCCTGGTATCTACTCCGCACGAATACGAACAGGGGAAATTCCAACACGCGCGCCTGCGCGGGCGCCTGCGTAGCCTGTGCCATGACATCTCCTCGTCCGCTCTTCTTCCCGCACTGGAGTTCCGCCCCTTTTTTCTTTGAACCCCCCCCCCTAATATAGCATGTCGTGACTGGTCGAGGTTCGAGATCGAGGTATTGGCGGTGAGATGCGACTGCGGGTTGTGCGTCTCCCCGACCCTGGCCACTCCGCCCATGATGTCGGGACAAGCTTTCTGCGATCTTGGGTCTCGGTAGCATTCAAATGCTTTGGGTCCCGTTCATTTTTGTGGTCCTTCGCGAGCGCTACGATGCCTCCCTGCGGAGGGCGTGTCATGCTAAGAAGCGTGCGTTACGCGAGTTCTAGGCTCTTTGAGATTCGATGGAGTGGCGTAGCTGTGGAATTCCTCCCCCGTTAGGACCCTCACGAGTATCAGCGTCCTCGCTTAGCTGGTGTTACCTGCTTGTGGTCGTCGTCGAAAAAAAAAAGGTACCAGGCAGATGGTAGCGCCATCACTGTCACTCAGGCATGGTATTGCAACAGGCATTCAGAGAACAGAAAAATAAATTAGCTATGTATCGTTGATGCTGGTGCTTTGTAATCTTACAAGGGCTCGCCGGCCCCTTGATGGTATCAGTAACGACGAGGTGGTGGTGGGCCTCGTCCCGGAGGCCGATGTCCTGGCGGGCCATGTCCTGGGGGACCGAGCCGCGGAGGGCCAAACCCAGGGGGGCCATGCCCCGGCGGACCATGGCCATGTGGCGGGCCATGCCCCTTGAGGCCCGACGTGCCCGGGTAGAAGGGCAGCGTGCGATACCTCCATAACCGCTTCCGCTCCTTGGCCCACCACTTGCCCACCGCGACAGCCTCCTCGGCCCAGACCTTGGCGTCCTTGCCCATCTTCTTCTCGACGCTGGTGACCATCTCGTCGTATGTCCAAGCCGTCACGGCCTTTCGCTCTGTCGGATCCTCCGCCAGGTTCGAGACCATGTACTCAAACACTTTTTCGAGGGGCATGTTGAGCTTGTACGGCACATCAGCTGACGTTACAGTCAACATGCCGGCACCCGAGTTGATGACTGAAAAGTTCCACGCCCGCCGCTTGCCGTCCTTCTTCTTGTACTCCCGCACAAGAGACTGCCCTTCGTAGTCTTGCGCAAGATCCGTTGCCATCGCGGTATCGCGCTTGTTGAGAGAGCCGCTGCTGACAAGCAGATCAAGAATAGTTGGCAGGACAGAGATGGACGTCGCATTGACGGCGGACTGTACGCGCGGCAGGTGCGGATGGCGGAATGTAATGGGTACGCGGAAGTCGGAGACGTGGGGCACTTCGTATGTCCCCGTTTTGCGGTAGTCCTCCTTAAATGTTTGACCGTGGTCACCGATGAAGACAATCAACGTCTCGTTCGTCATGTCGAGGTCGTCGAAGAGCTGCATGAGCTCGCCCATCCACTTGTCGTGATAGCGGAGGGTGTTAAGGTATTTGTTGAAATCTGTGTGCCACGCGTTGCTGCCCTTGCTGGGCAGGTAATCGAGTGTGCTGAAATCGCTGGGGGTATCCCAAGCGTGGTGGGTTGTACTGGTGAAATGCGACATCCAGATGCGCTTGTCCTTGGCGCGGGCGCTGCGCACGAATTCTGAAATGTGCGGCTTGAGGACGGGTTCGGGATATGCGAAGTAGTTTACCTTCTGGTTCAAGATCTTGGACGAGTTGAACCTGGGACTCTCCTCAATCTGCTTTCGCGTGACAATGTGCTTGAATCCAATCTTTTGGTCGAAGATTTCCTGTCTGTCGTACTCCTCCACCTCCGCCTCGAAAAGGGCCGGCATCCATTCCTGATCGCGGAAGTCATCGCTGGGCGCCTCGTCATCAACCTTGGCTTTGTTGAAAAGGTCGAGAACTTGCGGGATGCACGGCTGGTAGCTGTCGGTGTCAGCCTCGTCGAATTTGTCCACGGGCATCGGCCAGGGCCGCAGTGCACCGAACCAAAGCTCTTTGTCGACATGGAAGCAGCAGTGTAGGAGCCGACGACGTTGACGCCACCAAATCCTTTTGCACTGGAATCAGTCCAATGCCTCTTTGCCTTGGGGAACTCTTGCCGGGCGGAGTCCTTGAAGCCACCGAGACTCCAGAGATCTGTTCGATATGCGGAGCCATCTGGGACAATAATTGGTTGATCTTATCCTTCGCTGCCTTTGACTCGCCCTTCGTGCGACTTCATAATGTTTTTCCATGGCTCTGATCCTTGCTTGATCGGCCAGAATTCCCTGGCGCAAGCTCTCCATGAGAACGAGCACAACGTTCTTGATCTTGATAGAGCCGTCTTCAAGTGGCTTTCGCAGGGGCTCCAAGATATCATTGTCGAGGTTGGTAATCTTAAGCGGGTCGTTTACCGGATTGTAGAAGGGCGGCTCCAGGGGGACGTTTGGGCAAAATGGCGTCTGTGCCGGCCCCTTGGGCTTGTGCGATCCGAGGAAGCCATTCTTGAAGCGAAGGGGGTCCCATCGGAAGAAGCCGCGCGGCAGCTCCTCGGGGAGCCACTGCGGCGTCCTCTCACGGTACTCCTGCGCCAGCTTGCTATCGGAGCCTGGTGCCCAGCCCTTGGAGTTGGCACCGGGCTTCTCCCAGTGATCCTCCGCGAGCAGGTCGGGAAACGGCCAGGGGTTGTCATAGATGCTGTTCTGCAGGGTGCAGTAGTCGGCATGGTTTTGGAAGACGTCCAGCATGGAGATGGGCAGGGTGATGGACATGTAGTCGTAAGGCCGTGCGGGCCGCGTGATGTGAGCAATGGTCAGGTACATCGCAGAGAAGAGCAAGCCGATCCAAGCTGGGAGGCGTCGGCGTCGGCGGCTCAGCTCAGGCTGGTCGTACTCGTAACCCTTCTCATGAAACGACTCGTCTAGGAGCGTAGAAACGTCGGAGTGGTCCTCACTGAATCGCGCTGTGCCGTTATGTAGCAGCATCTCGGCCGAGGCGGCACCTTCTTCATCGCGATCCTTATTCAGGGGGTGGGTATCGCGTTTCTCGGCGCGCGACCTGCGAAGTTGAGCAGAACGAAACTTGGACAGCCAGCGGAGGATCGACAGAACATCTTCGCCGAAGGCCTGCAGAACATTGCCGACGGCATTGTGCAGGATGTTGCGGAGAACGAAGCCAACGGCGTAGATGGCACCGGTAAAGGCCAGCAAGGCAGCACTGCCGGAGAGGAGGACTTCAAGACCCTCCTTGTTGGCGTAGGCCTGAGCATCACGCCATTGCAGTTCGCCGCTGGTTTGGGCGAAGAATCCGAGCTGAGAAGCAGCTCCACCGACTGCGATGAAGCTGATGAGAGGGTTGTCATGTTAGTTATATTCCTCTCCTCTTTCCCGCGGACATGACGGGGAAGGGGGGACGGCTCGAGTGCAAATCTAGCTCTGCACAAACTTGCGCGTAGCTCGTGTGCCAAGGAGAGGCAGGTGGGCACGGATATCGAAGAAAAAAAAACTTACGAGATGAGAGAGCCGATGGAGACGGGGATGAGCCAGAAGCCGCCCCGAGAATTCTGTAACAAGAGGCGAAGTACAAAGATGGCGAGCAGATCGTAGATCAAGAAGGTCGGCAGGTAGATGATGAACGCGCTGAAGGGAACAGTGGAGAAGTGAGCGATGAGGTGAACGGCCTTGCTGGCGAGGATGGCGACGGTGAAGGAGGAGAAGAAGAAAGGCGCTGGAGAACCGAGGAAAGCCATGGCCGCGGCAGCTTGGGTGGGCGTGGAGCGAGTGGTGCGGAACGTGTTGAAGCGTCCGTCACCAGGCCATCCGAGAGAGTGAAGGGGTCCCGAAGGAGAGTTGAAGGTGGTGAAAGGAGGAGAAAGTGGGCAGGAGCAGGATGTTACGAAATCGACGGGATCGTGGTTGCCGTTAGGGGGGGGGCTACTTTAGAAGTAAGGCAAGGTACCTCAGCAGGTACCTGGCCTTGCCTTAGTCGGTAACACATACCCATCCGTCACTCACGGGCCACGCCCGGGAGCCTGACCCTGGATCATGGAAGGAAGGAAGGGGCCCAACAAGGAAATGCAGTTACAAGCTGTGCTGTCAACGAGGGGCCAACCCGGCCGGGGAGGGGGGCGAGGGTGGAGGGGGCCGCGAGATCCAGGGCGAAGACGGAATGAAAGGGAGTGTAGTGTCGCGTGCGCCCCAGTCTATTCGTAGATCGTAGGATCCGCTTCGAACACATCTTCTCGGTGCTGTACCCTTTTCCATGCTAAGCGGAGTGGCGCTGGGCGATGGCGCTGTCCCGATATTTTACTTGCTTTGGGGGAGGAGGCTTTGGCTGGACCTTGGGGGGGGGTGTCTCTTGGGGGCTGACTCCTCGGTTTTGGGGCTTTTGGGGCCCTTTTCGGGGCCAGGCAGGGCAGGTGCTCTGGGGTGGGACTAGCAAACACAGGCCAAATTACTCATGGGCCTCGTATCGTCGTTGGCTCCTCCTGATCGCGTGTCGGCTGTCCCGACAGCGTAGGTTCTGCTTGCATCGAATCTCCGCCGTCACGTTGAGTGTCACATCCCCATCCTTTGGCAGCCCCGTCCTGATCAGCTACCTACTTACTGACTGCCTACGCAGCCGACGTATTGACCACCCGCCCAGGAAAATACAAGGCACGCGAGCTGACGAAGATCCTCGACAAAAGAACGTCCCGGCATAACCTAATTGCCAAGAATGGCATTGATATCCCTGGAAAGCTTGTGCCAATATGAATACCCTTTCCCTCCCACCAAATCCCGAGCATCTCCTCAGGTGGCACAGCACCCGCCCTCAACCGCGACGAATATGGGAGAAACACGCCCTGGGTTCCGCTGTAGCTGTTCATCGCGCCCGAAGGGCTGCCACGCCATTCCAGTGGCAGCGGGAGCCAGGGCGGTAAGGCACTCGACGAAAGACAGCGAGATGCAGGCGAGACACTCGGGCGCGTCTCCGATTGACTCTTGGGTGAAATGAACAGGGTCGTTCCTCCACGATCACACGACCAAATGCCCTTGGTGGTATGGCGTGCGAGTCAGGACTGCCGTGACGCTACCCCGCCTTGGCGCCGCCGACCGAGGCTCGACTCCTTGGGAACCCATCCATTGCCTCCTAGCCCCAGGGGTGTCGTGTGTCGTGTGCCCGGCGCCGTGTGTGTCAGTGGAGAGGACGGCGGTAGAGGAGAAAACCTCTCCCAAAGGAGAAAAAACCCTTTTCTCGTTTCCTAGCTTCGCTTGTCTCTCGGAGATCTTCTCAATAAAGTCGTCTTGTCCCTGGACGTCTGGCATCTGGCAGGGGTGTCACATTCATTGGTGGGTCCTGGATGCAATCAGAACCCCCCGGCATACCCAATGTTGACTTACTTCGCCTTCCTGGAGAGGGCAAGGGAGTTGCCGGCCGCTGCTGAGGTATTCGATATTCCTTCGGTAACAGTGAGCGACGCCGGCGACCGAAACAATTCCATCTCTGGATCGGCTTGGGACCACAATAGGACCCTACGGATAATTGGGTCTCCGATGCAGACATCTCTCTCTCTCTCTTTCTCTCAATGGGTCAGCCCGACCTGTGGCTGGCTGGGACTCCATTGACATTACTAAAGGGCTCCTCAGAACGGCGGGTACCGACGATAATTGGGCAAAGGGCCAATTCGGCGGAGTGGCCATCTCTCGCAGGCTCGCGAGTACCTCGACTCCTAGGGTATTGACTCTCGTGGAGTTTCAGGCTGTGAATCCCAACCAATACCTGCGAAGAAGGTCCTTTTTCTTCAGCACTTGACGTCAAAGACACACATATATGCGATGCTTCCTTCGCCGCTCAATAGGGCAACTGGTCTTACCATCTCGATCGAACGTTTAGTGGGGTTGCATCGAGAGCCCTGTTTTCTACCAACCACACACAAGAATCGCACAAGCCTGCCAATCAGCCCCAGCAGAGGTGCATCTTCCTGCACACGCGGATGGATGAATGCAAATCTTGGGTCGTTGTCGGGAAGGATGCATACACGGACCCATGTTCGGGTACAGCCTTTTGGGGGGGAGGGGGGGCTGAAGATGCATCCAGACCGCTGCTGCCCTGGTCTTCCAACTCATCGCCCCCATATGTTTGCTTATTTTCGTCTCCAACCACACTTGCGACGCCGTGCACGACACGATGAATCAATCCTACGTTTGGTTCGATACTGTGATCTGTCGGCTGGGAAATTTTCCTTCTCTGAGGGTCGCCATGTTGGCGGAAACGAAAAAAGGATCGACCTCGTTTACGTCAAAGGGGGGAGCGCTAGCTCAATCAGTCATGCCCATCAATCCGTCAGCCAACTCAAAAAAAATAGGTTGGGAATGCGCTCGGCTCCAACGGCTTGCACATGAATGTCTTGTTTTTGAAGTTGCTGCCAGTCTCGAAGCCCCCGATGGGGCCAACGGCTGCTCGGCTCAGCATTGCACTCCTTCGTCCATTGCAAGCAGGCTTTGGGGCACCTCGAAACGCGTCATGATGGCATGCAATATTGCAGCCACCGAGCGGTCCCCCTCTCTCCCCTCTCGACACTGCTGTCAAAGAAACGCTTGCCACTGACGCGCCGCGGCGCTGATGATCTGATCCCCTGGCTACGTACACACCAAAATAAAAACTGCTGCAACTGGCTAGGGCATGGCCCATAGCCACTAAGCTGAGCGATGAGGTGATCTGTGCCTGGTCACGTATGTCGGCTTTCCAAAGCTACCCGCAAGCAACAAGGCGCTTGCGAGTCCTACCAGAGGGTCTACCTGTATACCATCATGTGCAATTCATAACTATCACGTTCAGACTCACTTGATCTTCACGACTTGTCTTGTCCATCCCTGAGATCTAATTGAGACGCTCTTCTGCATTTTGACAGGTCTACGCGTAGAATTAGCTCAACCCCTTGCCATCAATGTCCATGCTCTGAGACCTCTCCCATAACCAAGGTTTGACGGGGGTCGACGCGCTCCCAGATTTGTCTGCATCCGAAATAGGGCAGGCAGGCAGGCATGGGGATCGAGTCTCCGTGGCGAGCGGGGCACGTGCCACTTTCTCGTCGGATACGAGAAAAATTGGTCCAGCCAGCACTATTTAGCTAGTCATGTAAATTAGTGCTCTTCTCACGATGCCCTCCTTTTTTTGCCGGCAGTGGTCAGTCATATTGCGTCTGAAGGGGAGGAAGGACGCATCTGAAACTTGGAGGCGCTTCCCCTGTGATTCCCATTTGACGAAGAAAGACCTGGTCACTTTGCGCCCCTTTTAAGTGCTGGCCCGGCTGTGCATTGCCTGTTTGGCTCTCGTTACGATCTGCAACTCTGCAGCACGTCTCCCTTATTGTTCCCCAAGGCAGTCATTGCCGAGCCCCTTAGCAAGATGGCAATCCTGAGCCCTTGGGTCGAGGGCTTTGAAATCTTGCCGGCCGTCCGCCCACTGATACGAAGAGGAGATGCCCTTGGCCAATTTATCTTGCAACCGCAAATTTGATAGCCATTAGCAGTGATACACAAGTCATAGGCAGCAGACTGAAAGAACATGGCTCCAGGCGCTTGTGAGACTGCGCCGCCGCGGGTCTGCACAGCTGAAGGTTCTTGGCGACAGCCTTGACGATCGTCCGGTCTCCGCTGGTCCTCTGCTGTCCCGGATGGCTGTATCCTGAGTAAATTCTCGCGCCTGCAGCTCAGGGCTCGCCCAGTCTAGTATTGTGCGAGACAGATTGCTGATTGGCAAGGTGACATATCTGGACGTCCCTGCAGGGCCTCAACATGGCAGTTTATCCAGCTGATCTGCCCACCGTTTTGTGATCCCCTGCACAGGAGCTGCCGAGATGCCAGGTCTTCTTGGCGTATCTTATGCTCGCTCTTGGCTTTGGGACGATGTATTGCACGTATTTGACAGGCATTTTGTACGTTTCTATCTTGTAAGTTGATTCTTGGTTCGAACATCTCCTCTGTCCGAGAGAAAGGTATCTGACGGGTGCGCCGCTTGCAGGAATATCAGCAACGCCATCTTGACTCGACCACCTATGGAACTTGCCTATCTACACGATATAGCGGAGAACGAGAACGCTGGAATACCGAGGATTGCAAGAACACGTAGTTCGTATTGTGACGATGCAGTTAATGCTCAGCAGGATGTTTTGCAGCTCCAGAGGAATAATTTTCGAGGCCGACAAGAACCACCCGACTTGAGATGATACCCAATATTTTGTGTGTTTGGAATTACACGGGCATTTAGGAGTTAAGTGCCTGGGCCAAGAACGCAAGTGAAACGTGCATGTCAGCTGGACGATGGCATCCTCGGCATATTTACGAGCTATGGCCTTTATCCCTCGACAGAGCCTTGCTAATTTGCAATGCAGATCTTGTTGCAACAGAGAGGAATGGCATGACATGGAGGTCATTTGACTCGGTAACACTCCTTTGCCCAGTTTGAGAAATGGGTAACATCTTTGCATTCGTTCCATCAGTCCACTATCAGGAAAGCAGCTCCATGACGGCTACAACCGTAGGCACGAACAAAGGAATATTCTTCTGACCGCAAGACTTGATTGTCCCATCGTTAGACGATCTGTTCAGCCTCTTCAGTAAACCAGTAGAGAAGACGAATTCATCCCTCCTTGAAATCGAAACCTTTAGCAACAGTACTCTCGATCCTCCATATACACCAACCCAAAGTCCGACAGGGAAATGTGCCACTCCTGAATAGTCTCATACACATGTGTAAGTAACTTGTGTAAGTGTCGTCCGTGCCAATCTCGGCGGTCCCCGTTCTTGAACTTTCGGTTGAGACAGTCCTCACGGCGATCGCAGCCAAAGACGAGCAGATATGCATGTACCATCTCATGGATCAGGCCCTCAATGGCAGCAGCAAAGGCCACCGGACGGACGCCGCCGGACAGTAGCGGGTAGGCAGAGCGGACAGTGATGAGAGCGCGAACGCGGGACGACGAGAGGAGACAGCCGCTGACAGCGGACATGTCCGGGATGTTGACGGTCAGATGAACCCAATTGCGCTTTGGCAAAAGGACGGCACCGGCAGGAAAGACCCCATCTTCAAGATGATGGAAAGAACCCGATGAGACGAACTCAGAGCTCGGACGAGTCAACGTGTGATGGAAGAAATATTGATCAAGAAGCTCGACACAGCCCAAGAGCTTGGCATTGTCCGTGGTGTGATCGAACGGTCGTTCAAAGCCTGAGATGAGTAGAGACTGAAGAGTATGCTGGATCTGACCAAGTGCCATGTTAATCGGATCCGGAGGAGCAGTGTTGATGGTGAAGGAGACCAAGTCTCGGATAGAGTTGGCGCTTGGTAAGGTGTTTGGTAATGGGTTGGATTCTGGGACAAAGCAAGGACATTGTCCGTCCGAACTTTCTTGATCTTGTTCCCCTGGCGATATTTGTTCAGTCTTGTTCAGAGCCATCAGATCTTGGCTGATTGTGGTATTCGTCTTTATACAGCGAGCAGCTTGGAATTTCTGAAAGCAGATTCAGACGAGGTGTTGAAGTTGATAAGAGAACGACGAGAACGTGGTAGTTTGTCACGGGTTGAAGGAGAGGGAGCTTCGAATGGGATGCCGCATAGCTAGATTGCTTGCTTTTGTTCGAAAACCAAAGCTTATTCTTTCTCTCTCGATGGAGGACTTGCCAAAACTACATAACTGACTACGCTCGATCCAACCGCATTGTTTGCTCGGAGATGCTCCGAGGAGTAGTTTCCACTTATTTCACAACTTACACAAAGGAGTTTCGAGAAGACCACTAGCGATTGAAATCTGACTGAGCATGAACAAGAAACAAAGTCTCTTGAGGATCGAGTGCGCTGTGGGGCCGCCAGAGACCGGATAAAGTGGACCCAACGATGGCGGCCCGATCCGGGGCTAGCACCGGGGGTCCCTGTCCCTTGTAGGCTTGCGTTCTCTGCTCCTTTCATGGGCTCTGGCTGGACACAGAATTGAGACTTGAGTGACATTTACAAGGAGAGGGGTGGGCTCCAACTACCTTGATGACATAATAGTAGGCCATCAGTAGCTACGAAGAACACAGCTCCAGGTCCAGTTGAGGCTTGCGTGGCGAAGTTCTGGGCAGACGCACGCTAAGATTGGGGCGCGTGGCAGGATGCAGGGCAGGCATCTGCTGCGTGGGCCTCACCTTCCGAAGCTCCGACCCAACCTCAGCCTCGTCTAAAACTTCACCCTCTCCCGCTGGCACCACGAATATTGCTCTTTCCATACCGTCTCGGACTGCTTCGGACCTGCGTCTGGTTCACGATTTCAGATGCCTCTTCCAGAAGGTCCCGTACCAATCTACCGCATTGATGTCGCTTTGTCGCCCGAGCATCGATACGACGAGGTAGCGCGCGATTTCGCGCCGCAGATGCGCGATGTCACCAACATCTTCGACGACCTGCTCGCCTCCATATTCAAGTATCCTCTCCTGTGCCGCGCCGTGAAATTTCTCGCCAGGTCGCTACTGCGCCGATTGAACGATGACGAACAGAATCGAGAAGCGCGGAGCATCGCCAAGGTGGCAGGTGTAGACCTCTATCTCGTCGTTGCTCTCAACGTCCTGCTCGATTCACTGATGGGCTGCACAGCGGGATGCATCCTGACCGAGCCCCATCGTCCCAAGGCTTCCGAGAGGAACGGACGGCTGATGCACTTTCGTACACTCGACTGGGCCATGGACCCCTTGAGGGAGCTGCTTATGATTGCCGAGTTTGTCGACTCGCGCGAGGACCCCAACCGGGTCATCGCGCGGTCCGTCACGTACGCCGGCTTTGTTGGAACGTTGACGGCTGTCAGGTAAGAGAGAAAAATGGATTTTCCATGCTCACTTGCTGACGTGTTTCCGTAGGCCTGGCCTGTCTCTGTCATTGAATTATCGGCCCACACATGAAGGCTCGAAGCTTGCACTGCGTAAGCACCAGATCCTTGTACTCTTTGGGCTACGGCCGTCTATCTCGTCCATCTTACGATCGGTCATTCTCAATCCACGCCGCTGGCCACTCTCTCAAACACCATTGAACGACAACGCACCAACTCCGCTCGTCTCGTTGGTAAACCAACTGGCCAAGGAAGCAACGTCTCCATGCTACCTGACGCTCTGTGACGGAAAAGAGTCGGCCGTCATCGAGAAAGACGTCCACACTGGCAAGGTCAAGACCTCGAACCAGTTCATCGTACAAGCCAACCACGATACCCACGGCTCGCGCTGTTGCGGGCCGAAGCCGAGCCCCGACTCGGATCCGAGCGAGCCGCAAACGACCCTCCTCGGCGCCGAGCTCTTTCTGGAAGACTCAAATGAGCGCATGGACATGATGCAGCAGCAGTGGCTGCTGCATACGGTCGGTAGTAGAAATGACAGCCAACACGAGACAGAGAAGGACGAGCCCAACGGCCAGTGTCTCGGAGAGGGAATTGAGCATCGAGAAGTGCGGCCCACAAAGGGTGTGAGAGAAAAGGCATTACAGGCTTGGATGATGGAGTTTCCCATCATCAATGAGTGCACGCATTACGCCTGCATCATGGATCCCCAGACAGGGGGTATCCGATGGATTGAACGAGGGACGATTGAGTTTGACCCTGAGAACCCACGTTTTTAGAGCTAGACTTGCTCAGCATGGCTGGTGCAAGTCACAAGCGTAACTCGGGCACTCGTGCGAATACTTGGGAACAGACATGATCAGCCAGCCTCCGTCAAGCAAACTGGACTCCTCCTTACATTACGACCTTTTCTACCTATCATGCAACGCTGTACAACCCGGAATGAATGCGTGAAAAGTACACGAACCTACTAACGAGAAAATGCTCGAACGGAACATGCTTGTTATTTCAGCGAATCTGACCTGTTGCTGTCACGGCTGCTGTGGGGGTTGGCCTGAATATTTGACGTCAAGCCCGCCTCGTCGTTGCCCAACCCATAATCCGTGGTCTCCTTCGCGCTCTTGGACGAATGAATGTGCACCGACCGCGTCAACATGATGCCGCCGTGCTGCGACCCGTCGAGGCCGGAGCGGCTGTCATGGGCAGCGTACCCAGCGTAGGCAGAGGAGCTCTTGATCTTACGCGTCCACAGAGCGTTGATCGCCGGCAGACAGGCGCAGATAAGACCGATGCCAGCCTCGGCGTTGCTGGTCACTCGTTAGCATGGAACACCAAGAGGATATTGTTTCGTCACTCAAGCCCCCGATCGGTCGATTGGCTGACTATGGCACTACTCACCCCGACAAAACGACCTTCGTAAAGACGATGGTCTGGTTCCTAGACTTGCCGTCCTTGAGAATGAGGATGAGGCGGTACACGCTGAACCCTGTGGCGACGCCACCGGCGCACAGCATGCCGATCACTCGGAGCCTCTTCTTCCGCGGCAACTGCAGCGACCAGGTCAGCGGCAGAGGCAGCAGCAGGATGACGAGGTCGCTGAGGACGCTGATGATGGCGTCGGCCGTGATGATGGCGCTCTGGTCGAGGCACTTCTCCGTGTGGCCGTGCCAGTAGGCCGAGATGGGCCAGCAGACGAATATCTTGATGAAAATGCCGAGGCCATAGTAGATGACAATCATGCCGATGAAGGCGTACATGCCAATCATGACCTTTTTGTGTACGGAGCCGAAGACGCGGAGGATGATGAGCATCAGGGCGAGCTTGACGGTGAGGGCCATGGGGGCGTAGAAGATCGTTGCTGCGTAGCCGGACTGGTGGCGACCATGTTAGAGACGAGGTTGTGCAACGCGATAGCAAGGGAAATCATCGGGCGTACCTTGAAGAATGGCTGAATGTCTTCCACTCGGACGTCCCATTGATTAAGGCCGGCACCATAGTATGTCACTGACTCGCGTGTAAGTCAAGGTATATCTCTCTGGAGCACTGCACAACGACCGACTCACTAAAACATGCGGTGATGCAATACCCGATCATGAGGACCTGTTCCTGTCAGTGTTCGTCTGCATGGATCCATAGGGTCAATGGTTGTTACCCATGAAGAGTATGTCGCATCTGATCATGTCTTGTCAGTTCCAACATTGCTTTTCTTTTTTTTTTTTGGGGGGGGGGGGGGAGAAAACGTGGAGTCTCACAGTCGTCCCAGCTCACAATGCCGCCCATGACCTTGGTCTTGGAATACAGACGTGCGGCGATGAAAAGGGTGGAAAAGAAAACGGTCAGACCCTGCGTGACGTAGGTGACTGTCCTCAACACATCCTGCGGGTTGTCGACATCTGCCACGACGCCGGCCGGCGGCGGTGCCGCACCTGGATAACTCATGGCGACAATGATTCAATCTCTAGTAAGATGGAAAAGCGGCAAGGTGGAAAAAAGGAAACCGGAAAGACAGGCAGCCTTACAAGCTTACTTTGTAAAAGACGGGAGTCTGCTGCAGGTAAGGGGGGGCGGCCCTTGAGATCGACCCAGGGTCACGAGATCAGCGGGCACTGCTGAAGAAATCTGGAACAAAAGGTCATGTCGGGTCTTGAAGATGAAATGAATCATATTAACCCTTACTGCAGTAACGTAGCAGCAACGGCTGCAGGTCTTGGTACAAGGATGCAGTAGGGGTCGAAAAAAGGAATGGGACGTATTCTTCGTTGGCCCAGATCGAGGCCAGCATTCGAAGCACGGTCTTGTCCTGTTCGGCTACGTCAAAGCTGGTCGAAGAAACGGCGGAAGACGGGACTAAGCGGGCAAGAGATGCGACGGGGAAAAGCGCCTCTTGATCTTGGATGAAGAGGTTGGCAGGGGTCATGCAGCCGGCACGGGGATCCGGCCGAAGACCCCTGAAAATCAGATGAAAAGACAGGGGACATGTCCCATTGCCAAGAGACCAAGGAGGAGGGTCACCGTCCGGCAGTGACCAACCTCGCTTCCTGATGGGTTCATCATCATGAGATGCATAACACCATCAGGGGTATCTGCTGCAGAGCACTTGGATTACCTGGCGAAGACATGTTGATCTGAGTGATTTTTGACCAACCAGCATCTCTTCATCCCAGGAACTCTTGGTGTTTCGCCGCACACGAACTGCATGCGACATCGAAGCCTCCTAATGCGACATAGTGTGGGGAGGAATGATGGGGCGTCCTGGAGAATCAGTCTGGGTCTTCTCATAAATCTACTGGCCTCCAGGTAAATTGCCCTTCTTTGCTGATGTTCTGGCGACGTAACCTGTCACATCTGTTGCATATCACCTGCTGATACCCATCGCCGCACAGCATCTTACCGATTTTGTTGTGAAAACTCTATCCTTCTATTCACGCAGTCAGAGCGCACAATACAGACCAACGAACGCGGCCGTGCCTTTCATCAGACCTCGAGCCAAACATGGGTGACGCTCTCATCACGGGGTCCGAGTCCCAACTCTTCCAGCCCCTCAAGATCGCCAATGGCAAGATCGAGCTCAAGCACCGAGTCGTGCATGCACCACTGACCCGGAACCGCGGAACACCTGTCAACGTCAACTCCACCCTCGAGAACCCGAACCGCGTCTGGCTTCCTAATGATGCCGTGGCTGAGTACTACTCTCAACGCGCGACGGATGGTGGCCTGATTATCTCTGAGGGCCTCCCCCCCTCACTCGAGGTATGCAAGCCACTTGTCGTACTGAAACTTGTTTCGTCAAGTATCATTCTAACAATAGTATTTCAAGGGCAACGGCATGCCTGGCGTCCCCGGCATTTTCACCCAAGAACAAGCCGAAGGCTGGAAAAAGGTCGTCGAGGGTGTCCATGCCAAAGGAGCCTTCATTTACGCTCAGCTCTGGCACTCGGGCCGGGCCAACATCCCGCACCTCACGGGAACCCCCATTGTGGCTCCGTCAGCAGTGCCATGGGATGATCCCAATGAAACCTTTCCCTACCCTCCACCCCACACATCAACTCCCGTCAAAATAGCCGACCACCCGCCCATTGAGTTGACGCACGAGCATATCCAGAGAACTATTGAGGACTATCGCAATGCCGCCAAGAGGGCAATCGAGGTCGGCTTTGATGGCGTTGAGCTTCACGCCGGCAACGGCTATCTCCCTGAGCAGTTCCTCAGCTCCAACTCGAACAAACGGACCGACGCGTACGGCGGCTCGCCCGAGAAGCGATGCACCTTTGTGTTTGAGCTCATGGAGAAACTCGCCCAGGATGTTGGCCAGGAAAACCTCGCTATCCGCCTGTCGCCCTTTTGGCCTCTTCAACCAGGCGCGCAGCGAGCAGCGTGTCGAGACGTGGAACCACTTTCTCCCAGGGGCCTCAAGGAGCGTCTTCCCAACCTTTCCTACGTCAGCTTTATCGAGCCCCGCTACGAGCAGATCTTCTCCGAGGAAGAGAAGCAGAAATTTCTCAACTCCTGGAACCTGCCCAACGTCGACCTCTCGGGCTTCCGCAAGATCTTTGGCAGCACGCCCTTCCTCTCGGCAGGTGGCTTTGACGACCAGAACTCCTGGGGTGTCATCGAGAGCGGGAAGTACGACGCCATCGCCTATGGTCGGTACTTCATCAGCAACCCGGATCTTCCTGAGAGGCTGCGCAAGGGCCTACCGCTGGCCGACTACGATCGCAGCCGATTTTACGGACCGTTCGAGGACCCCGCCATCAAGTACACCGACTACCCTGCTTATAGCAACTGAGCATTTGTTTTAAAACGGGAGGGCATTTTAGACTTTTAGAAATGCAGCGCGTATGTCGCTTTGACGTAAAGTCATGCAATTTATCCAGCCCTGTCGACATCACCTTCATGCAATGCCTGACTCCTCCCCCCACTGCATTGCTACACATGGTGCGCCGACATTCATGACTCGCAAAGCTTACAAGCTTCCAGAATCTGCCCAGAAAGCTGTCCTATGACTAAGGGAGTGCGCTGTAGCAACGGTCACTGCGGACTAAATTCAGAATGGAGCATGTGCAAGTGGGCATGGTCCACGCCCGTGCCGAGACCGCGTCACATACTGAGCTTAAGAGCAAGGATGGCAAGGCTGATACTCTGGTCCGAATGACACATGTGATTTCGGCGTCGCTGAGGCGGTCGCGAACCGCCCCTGGTTGAAACACAAGCCTCGGGGTCCATTGCAACTGACGCTGTTTGGAAAAAGAGTTCCATGTTTATTGGTCCGAGACAACAGTTATGAGGTCGGGCCAACATGAGTGGCGAAGTGCATGCATGTGAGCGTCGACAACGGACTGCCAACCACGCTTGATATCTTAATTATGTCTTGGTTATGGAGCCTCTTTCGGGATAAGATCGTCCAGTGCCCCAGCCATATGTTGAAACATTGTGTAGTGGGTGTCATCGCTCAGTTCCGTGAACCTACAGTGTGGTAGCCTGTCAACCATGTGTCGTATCAAGGGGATCGGTGCGTTTTTGTCTTTCGCTCCATGCCAGACGTGCACGCCTTCATACCCAACATCCTCAATGTCGAAGCCCCAACTGTCGGCCGATAGGAGCTTCGCCTCATGGACTGTCGCTTCGCACCCCTGTCTGAACGGCTCGTCAATCAGCATTCGTAGCAGATTGTCTCTCGCTTCTGAGATGGGCCGCTGCGGCTCTGATGTTTCCGAAGTGGGTTCAGGTTTAGTCTTATTTTGTTCCTCCTGAAGCCATGCATCGAGTCGCTTTCGGATCACTGCGGTGCCCAGGAGCCATCGCGCCGTGTCAACGAGCCCCTGCAGCAAGATCGTCAAGCCCCACGGCCACTGGTTCGCCATTCGGCTTGTCACCCTCCGGGTCAGAGACATGTGCTGCCGCCCTGCCCACCAAGGTGGACCGCTGGCGAAGAGTCCCACGCCCGTGAGCATTTCGCGGGGCAGCGCCCGGGCGCAAGCGAGTGCGTAGGGGCCACCGCCGGAAGCGCCCATGACGGCGAAGCGGTCAATATTCTGGCCCGTTGCGAAAGCAACGACATCGGTCGGCCAGTCGAGAATTCGTTGTCCTGGTTGGGTGGACGAGCGGCCGAAGCCCGGTCTGTCGAGGGCCAGAAGGCGGATCTTGCGTTGACGAGCCATGTCGTCCATGACCGACGCCTCGAGGCGCGAGGAAGGGAAGCCGTGGAAGTACAGGAGAGGTTGACCTCGAGGATCGCCGTATTCGGCAAACCCTAGAGTCCGGCCATCGGGGAGGGTGAATTCCTGGCAATGCGTATCTGCCAGAGTCGTTGCGAACCTGCGACCCGGGGGGATTGACAAGTGATTGCAGGCGCGGCGGAGCAGCTTGGATGTGGGAATCGACATTGCGATCTATCTGTGTGGTGGTTGCGATTTCGAGATCAAGAACGAGCAAAGACGCGTTTCAATGGCGCGTGTATGTTATTATCCTCAATCGCAGCTTGAGGATTCAAGTTGCCGTCATTCAGGCAAGCAAGTGGTTGCTTACAGTGTGAGCGTCTCGCGTGTACGCGTATATGCGGCTCTCATACATCATCGCCGCATTGGTCGTATAAGCCATCCTGCTGGATACTAGACCAATCACGTGGCAGGTTGGTTGGACCATATCAACCTCACGGATCACATAAAGGACGGATGTTGCCTATCACCTCTAGGCAATTTATATACAGACCTTGCAATTGACCCATGATCGACTTGTCGTAGGCCCAAGTCTCATTGCAGGCAGCGTGGATATGTATGTACGGCTCGGCACATCAAGGCCGACCCTGAGGGAGCCTTTCAATTCTCATTGAGCCTCACCCTACAGTGGAGGGTGTAGTTGGAGGCGTCGACATGGGACGCAGGCCCTCATCGAGCCCCCACACCAGACTCCTGTCAGGCTTCACGACAGACGATGGACGTCAGGTCGTCTGGCAAAGCCAAGAGAGGCACATCGGCCGGGTCGACCAACTCTGCAGGCTCCGGCTGTGACAAAAGACGCTGACGGCGGGATGGCAGTTCCCCATGCTAGGTTTTCTGGCCGAACTGGATGCGCTGAGCGACGACGGTTTACAGGAGGCGGTTCCTCGCTCTGTAGGTAAGAAAAGACAAGGACAGGGTACCCATCCCCTCGCAAAGAGACAGCGCCGCACGAAGCTCTGAGCGGAGAGCATTGGCAGATCGTGGTTTGGTATGGAGAACGGGGCACATGGGTTGTTTTGCACAGACAGGACGGATCGATTGAACATGGCCTGTAAGGTGGTCTTGCTAAATGAACCATTGAAAAGCATATTGGTTTGACAGAGCTATAAGATCGACCATGGCGAAGATAGTCATATTCAACCCGAGAGAGGTCACAATATAATCAAGGGCACGGAGCCTGCAGTGAAATGCAAGTCCAATCACACAGAAATGTGCTCGCTGAAGCATTTCTCCTCATTCCGTACTCTAGATTCTGACCTGCAATACGAGGTGGTCTAGAAGAGGGCTATCCAAGCACCTGAAATAGCCAGCCCAACCGCCATCTTGAGAAATGAAGAATTCAACTCGGCAGCCAAGCTTCCAATCCGATCATAGCCTTCCACAGCATACTTCTCGCTCGGCACCGTCGTTGCCCCCCACCTGCCCATGTTTTTGATCCGCGCCTCAAAATAGTGTTCCTCGCCGTCCTCGAGCCAAAGATCACCATTACCGCTATCATTAAGTCCTTCCAAGATGCTCGAGGGATTCCATGTGAAGCTGCTTTCGCCGTCAGGGATGCTGATGTTTCTGCCAATGGTGTAGTCGACTGTCGTGCCCCCGCTGGTCAAGGTGATGTAATGCAGGTCGAATGAGCGCCAGTGCTGCCAATTACCGATGCTCCTAGCTCGATCAATTGTCCAGGAGATCTTAATAGCGTTCGAAGAGAGATTGAGGGGTGAATCTGGATCTGGGCCAGTGAAGGCTAGGCCACCATCATCTGCTTGTACCGAAGGCACTGTGGTGGCCAGAAAGAACGCCAATGCAATAGTTGGAACACGCATATTGGAGATGTGTCGTAGAAGCTTTGAGAAAACCAGAAAATGAACAGAAACTCAGGAGACAATGATTTCATCCACTCATGAAATGTTGAAGATTACAAGAATGTGTCCCGGCAATAGTCGATGAGATAGAGTGCCATGAAGACTGACCAAATGGCACTGATATGAGACAGGTCAGCCTTACTTGGCGAATGACGACAAACTCACAAGCCAAGGCCTGGATTGTTCAGACTAATGAGTCTCAATCCATATGTTGCCTCCGATTTTGGTCACATTCACTTACTAAAACCAAAATTGGGTATCGCCAAGTTGACGAAGGATCACCGGCTAGACATGTACCACTTTCTCGTCTTGGCCTACGCTTGGTGTTCTCCACAATCGGCACCTACGGCCTTATTATATGCTCTTGGAAGGCTGGATGGGTTTTCAGCTGCAGCCATGTGCCGCAAAGCCCAGAGCGTCTGTTGATGATTATGAAGACCATCAGATGATCGGATGTTGCAATTGCGCTGCGCAAACCGATAAAAAGTGAAATCACAGGCCCTTGGTTGATCAACACCAAGCCAAAGTCATCAATTCATCAAAGTTCTGGATATGAACTTGAAAAAAATACAATCCTGGTTCCCCACCCTTTAAGCCAACTTGCTATTAACGAATGTCAAAGCCTCTGCGCCAAAGATAGTACCATACTGCTGGTGGCGCACGGCGTCGTTGCCGTTGCAGCAGAATGGGTCAGGTGCATCACAGTACGACTGGATATTCGCCGCAAAGGGGCACTGGAAGCTGGCCGGGCGGGCCGCGAACTGACAAGTATTAGTCGATATCACAGCAGTGATGGAAGGAGTACACCTACGCCCTGGGCGAGACAGTCGCCAACATTCTGAGACTGGCCAGCGACGAAGCGAGGGCTGCCCATCATGATAGCGGCGCGGATCATCTGCTGTGCTGATGCAGAGATGGGAATGCTTGTGTCGGTGATACCGGCGCTCGTGTCGCCGCCGCCGCAGTATGCATTGTCCATGATCTGGCCACCCTGAGAGTAGCCAACGAGGATGATCTGCGAGTCTGGGCATCGCTGGTTGAAGGCGTTCACAGCAGTGGCCACGGCAGCAGTGCCCTGGCGGGCGGAGTCGGCATACTGGACGCCGCCGCAGCTGGCCTGGCCGCCACATGCCGGATACACGATGGCCTCGGAAGTTGTGCCGGGGTTGGCTTGGATAATGGAGTTGACGACGGTGCCAGCAGAGCCGAAACCTGGCGAAACGGTAGTCTCACGAGCGCCGAAGACGTGGATCGGGGGACAGTTGGCCTGACGGGCGGTGACTTCCATGGGTGAGGCGGCCGCCTGGCCGAGCAGGAGAATTGTGGCACCGAGTAAAAGCATGCTGAAAATTTGCGAGGCGATCAACTGCGTGGTGTCAATGTTTGATGATAGGGATGCTGACTCTGGTTGGATGAACTGGGACGAGACGAGATGAATGGTCGAGGTGGTCAATATATAGTCTCAACATTTTCCTTATGAATGTTGTCATATGAGAACGGACGAGCCAAGGAGTCACGACAGGGCACTTCCGGCGAACCGAGAGCCCCGTGGTGTTGTGTCGAAACGGTTCAGCCCATGGTGATTGATCGTCATTGGCAATTCAGCCGGAATAGAAAGGGGGTCAATGGGTCGTGGTTTGTGGAGCAGCATCCAGCGACACATGCTCCTCTTTGGACGAGATAGTGCTTGAAGGGGCTCGATTCGTCCCCGGGACCAGGCGTCTGCGGGGAGGTTGCACAGAATGGGCCAAGTCCCGTGTGGTGTAGATGAGCCGCATGATGGAGCGCCGATCCCGGGTCAAGGCTTCAGGTCCATTTGCCAAGGTGTTAGGGATCATGAAACAGCCAGGTGACCAAAATACCTGGAAATATGCGCTGGTAGCTCAAGAACGATACTCGAACCGACTGGCTGAAATAGAGCGTAGTGCCCGCTGGTGGACCAACTTTTGGTACTGATGCTCTGGACAAGGCCCTACGCAAGACTGACCGACCACCCATAGGTGCTATGATTATTGGATACGGATTGTCTCGATGTCGGGAAATAGTTCAACTCACTTGAGAAGCTCATAAGAGCACGATATTAAACTAATTCTACCGCAGAACAGCTATCACGGTCGACAATGGTGCAGATGGTGGTGCTGTTATGAAGCCATCACGAGTACAGTGCTACTTACCAAGATGATAACCACCCACACGGAGTTGTGCCGGGGCAGGTGCCGACCACCATGTGCCAGCCAATGATGTGTCTGGATTGAAGAAGCTCTCCGCCCCTTGCAGAAACCCCTCAGGCGTACCTACCTAGCTCCTCAGGTCAATCAGGTACCTTGCCAGTCGCTACCGGTGTCGAACGTCGCGATGTCAATCTTATCCCTCCGCATTTCGCGACTGCCTCGACACCACGAACCAGCGATCGTAACGGCATGGCTGCTCAATCGCGCCCTTCAAATCCTTTGGCGTACGATACTTAGTTGCAGCTCGAGGCATCGATTCAAACCATGGCTCGCCCAATGATAGCTCAGCTGACCAGGGCACTCTTTAATACCATTGACAGCAGCTTCGACGAACCTTCCACTCCGGCGATCCACCTCACCACAGCCGACAACCCTGCACTGGACAATGGGGACGTCTCAAGCGATGACGAACCTAACGATATACCAAACATAATCTTACCCGTAAGTCGATTCGACGACGGATAGCCACCTGGTCGAACATGTTGCTCATGTTGACCTACCTAGACAACGCCTCGTCCTCGAAGCTCGCCGCATGCCGAACTCGTAACAAGCGGACACCCACGTCAAAGAATGCAGCTCGATGGGGAAGAGGCACTAGTTGAGCTACATCCCCTGATGGACGACGTCGAAAACGATCTGTTCATTCCTCTGAACCTAGAACACCTGAACTCTGCCCTCGCTGTGCCACCACGGGGGATCTCTGGACCAGCGGCACCCAGCCCCTTTCCTCTGAATCCTTCGCAACGACCAGGAATACAAAGAAAGATCTCACAGCCCTTTGCCGAACACGATGTGGGCGGCGAGCCGCCACGCCAGACCGAACCGACGGATAAATCTCCGATTGAGTCAAACGACCTACCTTCGCAGACAGCTCGGGCTCGCCTCCTGGAAGAAGATCGTGAAGGAGAGGTATCACACACCAATGGAGCGTTGATGGTTGAAGAAATTCGGCGGGAGACCGCATGCGCTACGGTCGAACACGCACGTGTAACAGCCACGGAAGAAGAGGATTCCAAGCAGTGGCCCGGGAAAGCACATGATATGACGCCTTCTGCACCGGTGCAAACAATGGCTGGAGGAAGAGATATGGAAAATGGTTCCGTGCCAAGGGAATCCGAACCAAGAGAAGCAACAATGGACCTGACAGAGCAAGCTGTCCTGAGCCAGCCTCTACAGCAGGCCCCCAAGAATCCAGGCCCCTCTGGTGACGATGATATTGATGAGCCGAGTGCAGATTCAGCTGGAGAGGCAACAGAAAATCTACAGAGACTTGCGACACGACCGCTGTCAGTAGATGTTACCGACCACGCAGTATTGCCACCGGTGGTGCCAGTCACGCCGGAACCAAAAGAGTGCGAGCATGCGCAAACGCCTAAGCCAAGACGCAGCAGCCAAATTCTTCAAGCTGACCCAACTTCCCATGAAATTGAGTCCCCCGTACTTGGGATCGAGTCATACGTCTGCTCGTCTCTATCGAGCACCAGTGCTGCATGCATGAGCCAACGAGCGAGCAGATCATGTGTCGTCGCAAAGACCATGAGCCGTACCCAGACGCTTCGTTGTACTCAGTTTCGACCCAAGACGCTTCTCTCCATTGACGAAACCTGTTTCCAGCAAGTATCTTGTGCGAATAACCGACTTGCTGGGTAGTCCAGAGTGGATTCACGGCATGGAGACTTGGAACAACAGGCTCATTGATGACCCTCTGTCGGTCGCGATGCGTTACGAGAGCGAGACTTGCAGTCGCTTGGGAAGACAGATGCTATGTCTGGCCAAAGTCTGCAAGGCGATACCGCGTAGACCCGGTACGCGCAAACAGTTCAATTACTTCGGCGACACCGACAGCAATGACAAAAGCCTGGTGCCCAAATACATCGAGGGCGTCGACAATCATGTCGAAGAAGTCACGATGAAAATGCTCGGAACAGACAGTAGCACGCCAGCCAAGTCGCGACGTCAGGTAGCCATGGACATACGCCGGAATATCATTCCTCTCGCAATCTACACAGTAGAGCTCGTGTTCCTCGCGGGAGCGTCGGCAGTTGGAGTGGGGCGGTTGAACGCAATACCGGAACATGCCGAGCACACCAGTCAGACATTGCAATTATTGCGGCGTGTGCTTGTCTGGGTTGGGAGACTCGAGAGGGCCGCGGCCGAGGAGTTTGCCAATGCTTCGAATAGACAACAGGACATGGGACCGGATGCGTCGCCTCTTATGCTTGATCGACATGGTCTCGATATCATGATTCAGAAGCTTCAAAAGGCAGTCGGAGACAGTTATACGGCTCTGAACAAGCAGATCGACAAGGTCAACCGGCCGATTACAAGGCAGGAGAGTCACTTGGACGAGTTCGCCGAAGCGAACCTTCAGAACACTCAGCGGGGAGAGTCAAGGCAAGCCAAGCGAAAGCGCAAGGATGATGAGAAGCAAGCGGCGAGGGAAGAGGCGAAGCGGCGATGCATAGAATCAGTGATAAGGTTCACTGAAGGTCCGACGCGCGACACGAGACGGCCGGCACACCGATCAGTGGCCAAGCTCCTGGCAAAAAGAGGCGGCAGCAATTGAACCTTTCCATCCTCTCCGAGATGCCGCAAAAGAGTGCCGACCGCCCCGGGCACTTCGGGCAGAACATACCGGATGAGGTGTTCAAACGAGTCTTTGCGGGCGCTCAAGTACTCACAGAAGCCTGACGTTGAAAACATTGCGGAATCCATGAAGTACCACGTTGAAGACGTGTGGGACGTCATCGCCCTGCTGAAGAGAGCGGCGGAAGCTCAGCAGCGGGCGGGCGGCAGTAGGATGCCTGAGGGGCTGCGGCGTTCGTTTGAGCATTTGTACCGGCGATGAATAATCTTCCCTGGGCGAGGCGAAGTCTTTGATGTCGCAACGAGCATGTGTGTTGTCGCGACTATGCAGATTCGATGTATGAAGAATAAAGATACCCATTTCGGTCTTGTTTATTAAACTTCGGGCCCGATATAAAGGGGTTGACGGACGAGGACGCATGTGACCCGGCTGACTGGCGGCGGCCCCCAAGCGACCACGCTCTCCGAGCGGTCTGTCGGACCGTCTCGAGGTTGGCAGAATGCAATGCGACACTGTCAGAGATGGGATCTGGAGATATCACGGAATTCGGATGTTACGGCGAGATGGTGAGTGGGGGAAAAGAGAGCGTATTGTAGTCTTTCTGGTGGGGGCCTGGCATTACGTCTCGGTTTCGGGCCATGGTCTGAGTCGAGAAAACATCTGCCGAAGGACCAGGTGCATTGTCCTGCGGATGAGCTGGCGGTGCGGTGGAGGAAGTGGGATGGAGGGTTTTCGGCAGATTTTGGTGGTGACGGGAATGGACGAGAGCGGCGAGAGTGAAAGGGGGTTCGGGTTTTCCGCCGCACCAAAGCCATCCCTTCGTGCCTGCCCCCACCACCCGCCAGTGACAATTGCACCAGGGGGCCATGTAAGAGCATTGAGGGCTAGGTCGCGGGGAAACTCCGACAACACCTGAGCCCGGAAGCTGGGGCGTTCGCCAGTGCTCGAGACCACTAACCCACCTGCCCTTAGCAAGGTAAGCACAGAGATCTGGGGATTGTGGGGGGCTGCCCCCCCCTAATCCATCTTTGGTCAGTGGACGACAAGTTGTGCGCGCCTCGGACGAGTGCTGGCGGGTGAGTAGGTGGTGTGGAGCGTTCCTTCGTCAGGCCTTGGTCAGTAGCTAGGCACAGTAGATGCGAGAAAAGAGTGGGCCTTCGGCCCAGGAAGTCGGCACGAGGAAGGAGAGATGGACGGGGAAGAATTTTGGTTCGCGGAGGCAAGCGAAAGGATAGGCCGGGGTTGGTGACTGCCCACCGGGGTTTTTGGGGTCCTTGATGAGTTTTGGGGGCAAGTCATTGGCGATGGTAACTGCCGTGGTTCCTCCTACGACTCCATCGTGACCCATCATGGGTCTATCATGCTTGGCCGCGGCACCATGCAGATAACTTTGGGTGATGAGATTACGATACCAAGCCCACCCTTCTCTATCTTTCTCCCCTCCAGACTCCCATCTCTTTCTGCCCTTCTACCTGTCATGAAGTCCTGACATCCGGTGCATCTGCCGAATTCTCCCCACCTATGTCACCTCGGGCCCCCCTTTCGTCTGAGGCCTGCTGCACACCTCGGACTCCATGCGACGCATCATGCCGATCTGATGACATCGCTGGTCTGACCGTTGGCCACACACTTCGCGCCCCGCCCCTCCCTCGTCTTGTTTGCTGTGCTGTGCCTCAAGCTGGGCTCAGCTCAGGGGGGGTTGTGTGTGTGGCAGCCACGCGATCCTCTGGGCGACGAACAGCCGGAGACACGTTCCCTGTTGTTCGCCGAAGCATGTCACCCTGCATTCGGCATTGCCTGCCAGAACACCTTTGTTGCTGCTCTTGACGCATGTATTGTGGTCAGTCCACGCATCTTCTGGTCAGAGCCCCTCTTCCTCGGTTTGACTGTATTTCATCTGATGTGTCCGCTCACCACCTTCGATCCGAGAGCAGACATCTTCTCGACCATGACATTTAAATAGCCTGGCACACACCCACACACACACGCAACCCATCAGAGCCTCCATCCACTGACCCCAGCTTTATTTTTCGACCCAAACTCTCGGTACAAGCCTCCGACTACTTCACTCTAGCCTGTGCTTGGTGTGAGACCCTTCGAGAGCCCCCTTGTGGCCCACGCTATCTTTGTCTCGACTTCCCACGTTTTTCTCGCCGCAACGTGAACTTCCGGGGCCTTGTCGCACCTTGACAGCACTGAGTGGCGCAGCCGTACGGGTATATCGCTGAGCAGCAGGGTGTCGCGATGCACGGTGTCACAGAGTCAATAGTCGAGGCTTTTGCCCAACACTGGCCTCTTATTACAACCACACTTCTCTTGGCTTGGATCGTGAGGAATCGTTACAGAAATGGACTGAACAAGCATCCCGGCCCTTTTCTCGCATCCTTGACAGACTGGTGGCGATTCTACGATGTCTGGGGTCAACGCCCAAAAACACCCACATCGCCCTCCACAAGAAACGATGATGTTGTCCGCGTCGGCCTTACAAGTTTTCTTTGTCCATCCTGACGTTCTCTTACTGTTAACAGTTGACTCAGCTCGGTACATATGTATTTTCATTGTCTTCTGTCTAGCTTGCATAGCAAAAATATAAATTCCTCTTCCC